TATATATATGTGTGTGTGTGTGTGCATTTGGAGTTTTTTTTTTTAATTAATCTCATATGCAACAACAAATATTATCATGTTTATGTTCACAGACTTTATCCCTATATCTATTTATCAATCTTACCTGTCCCTGTTTGGTGTGACGCCTCTGATCTCACAGGATGAGCGGTCCTCTGTCATGGCCCATGCTTCCACACCTTCTGCCTCCATGACAATAGCACTGGAGCATCGATCCAGAGTGAAGCGGACTTCCTTTAAATTTGAATGGAGACGTTATCACTCCTGCATGTAGCGATGGGTCAGTGCGTAAAGCTGCATGGCACTCTGTTATGCAGGATTTATTCTAATCTGACATTTTCCCTGCACACAGGCTGAAGAAGTAACAAGTCACCGCACTTTTCTTACTTTACTGTTGCTCTTCACATCAAGGCGATGCCAGCGTCTGTCAGCCACCCCAACATTTGTTAACTGGAGGACTAGGGTCCCCGAGCCATGGTTGATTTTAAGGCTAGGCATCCCACCAACCAGCTCTGTGGAAGATAAGACTCAGAGTTAACACAAACCACGTAAAGTTCCCCGTTACATTAGATCAAAAGGATTGCAAGTCAAGGTAAAAATCCCTTCCACGCTGTATAGAACAAAAAATGAAAAGAACAGCTTAACGTGCTGGCACATATAAAATATAAATGCACAATCAATAGAAAACTGTGATGAAATGTGCTGCAAACCAAAAGAAGAGAGTTAAAAACAACAGCTACAAATATACTGATTGAGCCAGAAAAAGGAAACTTCCCCCAAAATCTGTGAAATTTAGGCTTAAACTAAATAAGCCAAATAAATAAATATAGAAACAATACTACAAGCATAACTGGTTTACAGAAAATGTGCAAATGACACCAAATCCTGTAAAGCAAAAGTAAATATTTGGTAAATTGGAAATAAAAAACCTATTTTGGTGTCTGTTTAGTCATTTTGTACAAAGTTCAAATTATTAAGCTCTGGGAAAAATAAACTGTGCTACTGTTTCCTTTTTAGTTTGATATATTTATTTTTTCCTATGGAGTGGACTGCTGAAGGTGTTTCAAGCATGAAAAATTCATTCTCTAAAAAGCAAACAAACAAACAAACAAACAAAAAAATCTAATTTCAAGAAGAAAAAAAATTGAAAAGAATCTGAGAATGGTTCATCAGTTTTATTATAGTTGACACCAGTTATTGCTTCTTGCTGGTGTCACAAATCTGTTCCCATCCAACATTGAGAGTAAAAAACAGAAACAATCTCTTTAAATATTAAACTTTTTGGTGTCTGTTCAAACTGGGTCCTAAAGTCAAATAAATACAAGAAGATCAACATATCATGTATTGATTTTGACCATTTTCTTATCTAAAAGTAAATCCACTCTCCTGTGTTTAAGATATTTTTGAGATCCTGAAGTAACTTTGTACTCAAAAACCCAGAAATAAAAACACTAATTTGACACTTTGTTTTGGCCCCTCAGGGTTTAAAAACATTTCATTCAGTGAGCCATTCAGATTTGCAGGAGGAAAGCTCATCATTTCTCCAACTAAAAATACAATACAAATCCAAGCTCCTCACCTTTCCTGTTCCCACATTCTACTTGAAAACATTCTGCTTTCACCATACCTCAGAAGTAGAAAATCAAAACTCCTTTTTTGCCTTTTCACGTTGCTGTTGACTGCAAAATCTCATGGGACGTTAAATATTTCACTCAGAAACAAGTAAATAGCTCTTTGTCAATACTTTATCTTGTGCGTTATATCTTGATGAGAAAATATCACCTAATATTGGCATTCTTTATTTATAGCTAAAGCCTGAAAATTCAAATTTCCTGTCCAGCATAAAATGTACTGTGAGCACATTAATTTAAATAAAAAAGCATGTGAAGAAAAAATAAATAAATAAACTGAAGATGTGTCAAAAAATATTTTGGACTGGAATTTTATTGAATTTTTAACAAAACATGCCAAAGCAATAAAACATTAGGAAAATGTCTCAGATTGTGAAAGAAAGATATGTCTTAAACAAAAATTAAACCAACATGCAGAACCAATTTATTAAAAATTGGAGTGGAGTCCTCTGTAGCACCTCTCACATGTGGAGTAACTCAGGGATCTATACTTGGCCCCCTTCTGTTTTCCCTTTTTTTACTCCCTCTGGGATATAGTCACTGGGAACATGGTGTTACTTTCATTTTTATGCTGATGACAGCCACATTTATGTGCCATTACTGTAAAACAAAATAAACAGTACTCTGTGAACAAACTCCTGGAATGTATGGCAGAAGTCAGAGCATGGATGTCACAGAACTTTTTACATTGTAATGAGGAAAATACTGAAGTCTTGTTGTTTAAGCCCAGTAATGGTTCCAATGTCCATGATGATCTGGGTCCTTTGACACAGGTCTGACTGAGACAGCATCTAACCTGGGCGTGTGGCTGGACAGTGATTTTAAACTAGATGCACAGATTAAATCAGTGATCAAGTCTAGTTTTTATCACCTGAGACAAATGGCCAAGGTCAAATTATTTCTGTCACAACATCATTTTGAGATTTTAATCCATGCTTTCATTACAACTCATCTAGACTAATATAATTCACTTTATGTTGGTCTGAGTCAGTCATTACCGACTCAACTTCACTGGGTTCAGAATGCTGCTGCTCACCTTTTAACTGGTACCAGAAAATGAGAGCACATCACCCCTGTTTTAGAATCACTACACTGGCACCCAGTTCATTTCCGGATTAATTTTAAGGTTCTTTTTTTTTTTTTTAAATGTCTTCATGGTGTTGCCTCACAGTATCTGTCTGACCTGCTCCAGCTGTACGTTCTCTCACACTCTCTCAAGTCAGCAGATCAGTTGCTGTTGGTCGTCCCAAAGTCTAACAGGAGGCTGACAGGTGACCGAGCGTTTTCAGTCGCTGCACCAAACTATGGAATGAGCTACCTTTGCACGTCAGACAAGCTGACTCACTTCCTGCTTTTAACTATTCTCTGAAGACACTTTTTTTTGCCCCTCTTCGGCTGTTAACTCAGCTTGAAATGTTGGTCTTACTGTTTTTTTTTATTTGTTTTATTGTTTGTTTGTTGTTTTATTAATTTGGCAGTTCATTACTTTTACAGTTTCAATTGATTTTATGGTTTTTAGGCTTGCTTGTATGTGTTAGTGTACAGCACTTTGGACAACGGTGTTGTTTTTAAAGTGCTTTATAAATAAAGTTGTATTGTATTGTATTGTAAAAATAAAGTTCTGCACAGCATTTATATTCTTTGACTCTTGTTTCTCAAACTGAGATGGTGCCCCACATTTTGACTGTGTCAGCAAATGCCAACAGCAGGACAAATGCTTTTCAAAGGTTTGGCTGACATCCATTGACTGTGAGGGAAGCAGAAGATTCTCATAATAGAGGTTGTATTTAATGTCAAGCTGTGCACCTGTGGGTCATGTCTTGGTCATCCTATCACAGTTTTTGGTGCCTTGATACACCCAGTGGAGAAAAATGAGTGAACACACAAAATGGCAATTTAAGAAGTGGAGATTTCAGCAAAAATATTGCAAAAATGGCCACACAAGGGAGGAGATACAACTACAAATAATGTATTCCTGTTAAAACTGTGAAAATGACTGCCAGATGGGAATTGGAAAGCAGACGCAGATTGAATAACCTGCGTTCATCACACTGTGTTGTATTAACTTCAAACATGACTTTTTATCCTGATTTGAAGAAAAAAAGGTGAAAACATATTAATATTAAAAAAAAATCTTTAATTTGGGTTAAAAATAAGTCATGCAGAAAATCAAGCTATGTTGGAGCTGGGTACATTGCATTGTTCAGTTCACATGCACAGGAAATGGACAATAACATATTTTTTTGACTGGGATATGAACCCCTAATGCTTTTAACTGTCTCATATATTTTACCCTACATGTAATTTTTTAGGCCACTCTTATTTAATGTTCCTTCTGTTCACTGAGGTCTGGTGTTTTGGGTGAAAAGTCGTGCTTGGTTCAGTTTCAGTTTTACAAACCTAGGTCAGGCTGTCATGTTCGTTTTATTGAGAGGAGACTACACCCTGTAAACCTCTCATTAATCTTTCTGCTGTACCGTCAAAAACTTTAAACATTTACCACGGTAACTAAAGCCTGCAGAGTGCGAGACACAGCTCTTTATTCTTGCAGTTTCTCAAAGCATTGCACAGTTTGACCTTGGCGTGCACTTGCTTGGAGATCTACTCTGGGAAAACTGGTACCTGTCTGGAATATTTGTAACTTCTACATTTATTTATTTTTTTCCCACAGTAAAACACTTCAAGGAAATGATCTAATAACTTATTTCAGGTTGATGGACAGTAACAATGCTGATGCAGATAGAAAACACTAACGTGAGCTCAGTGACCTCCATGATCCAGACCAGCAAACTGTCAAAATGTCTAATTTTATCATCTCAATTGGGACGCTGTGTAAAATGTAAATAAAAACAGAATGCAACCATTTGAAAATCACATAAACCCATAATTTATTCAGAATGAAATATAGTGTGGGAGTTCTGCCCTGCAACCTTTCTGCCACCATCTGAAGCACGAATCAGCCTCACCTGCAGATCGTCAGCTCTACAAGCAGGAAGAGCATAAAATGCTACAGAGAGCATTCAGCAGGCACTGGAGCATTACCTACCAGTGGTAGTTCTGTTCTAGCCAGTATTTTGTGAATGAGACTAAAGAATAACAGATTGTTATCCTCTTCATATTTCCAGAACTTAAACCCTGACATCCTCCTGTCCCACGGATATCTCTCTGTGAACCTCAAACCCTCCAGTGCCTCCTCAGCTGCTTCCACGCCTTTCTACCACTTGCCTGTCCATCCCCCTGGAACCAAACTCTGACATACACCTACCACGCCCTGGAACAACTGGGTCAGCTCTCCCCATAACTGACCCCTACCCTCACCATAAGGAAAAAAGCAGCAACTACATTATCACCCTCAGTTGTCAGACCATTAACCATCTTCGCTGCTCTCCTGGTTTCCAGCTCCCCCACCTGGAACTTTGCCTATTTTTGCACTTTGTAAATAAACACTGTAAAGTGTATTCATGTCTTGGTATCTGTTCACTTCGGTCCTTGTATCTGGGTACAGACACATTCCTCACACATTGACAACAAATCAAATGTTCAAGCCAAGAAATTGTACCATTTTCCCTACAAAAAAGTAAGGTAACTTTAAACAATTTGGGGACCTGTGATGGTCTTGAAACCTGTCCATAATGTACGCCATTCTTCATGTGACTAACACCTGCTATCATGCAAAGGACGGTGAAGAACTATGAATTCCATTCAAAAATGCTGCTCTCTTCTCTGGACTAAAGCTGAGATATCATGAGAAACTTTGTTTAACTGAACTGAAATTTGAGCTTTGAAATCATGGATGGTGCATCCTCTGTACTAAAGAGGAGAGGGACCATCCAGATTTTTGTCAGCACACAGTTCAAAAGCCTGCCTCTCTGTTGGTATAGGGGTGCAACAACATTTCCCTCCAAAAACTCCAGTAACTCCTCATCTTAATAGACATTTACACACTGTATAAAAAAGACAGAATGCTATCATAAGTCACACAGCAGCAGCTTTTCCCACTACAATGCAGATAAACTCACCAATAAGATAAGCTTGAAAAACAAATGTTAATGTAAGATGTCAAAAATATATCAAAACATTAATAACTGGTATCTGTTCAGGTTGTGTTGAAAGTGAAATGCATGCAGAGAAGAGGTGTCACATTTCAGGATGTTTCAAAATGAATTTTAATCTAAAGGACTAGCATTACTTGAAAAAATGTATATTTCTTGTCACCTTTCATAACAGAGTTTCAGAATCAGATTATTTATTTGGTTATGTTCTTTTTTTTAACTTTTACCAGGCGGGACATACAGAACAGTTTCCTATTTATAGAATCGGACGTCATGAGTTATTTGTTGGGTCAAACGTTGAAAACAATATTATGAAAAAAACATGCAATAGAAGAAGTTAGCACATTCAGATTATGTATTACAGTATTATTGTCTTTCTGTTACAGCCACATACAACTTTAGCTTAATATCTGTGAAGCTGGCTGTTATAGACATTTTCTGTGTTGGCTAATGTAGATTAGTTGTCGTAGTCCAGCAGACTTGAGATTTTTCCTAAACTTAATCAGTTGTAGATGTAGGTGATTGTTTACAGAAATTTTCATTAAAATACCTCCATCCATGGTTCACGAGATATTTTTTTGTAGCAGACATGCACACAAACACAAACAGACATGGGGGAAAAAAAATCATCCAAATTCACCTATTGGCAGTGGGTAATAATTAAGTTAACTTTTTTTCCTCTACATTTGTACTTTCAGGCGCTGAACAGAGCAAAATAATCTTTATGAGGCACAGAATCATTTAAAAAGTTTTACTGCTGTTCTGATGAACTGGGGGGGGGGCACATGAAGAATTATTACTTACAGTGTTAATCGTGAAACTGCTCAGTTGCTAAAGCATCACATTAAGTTCTTGCTGCATGCCTCGCTTGAGCGAGTGCTCATGTGCCTCAGCAGTAAACAAAAACATAAAATTTACCTCATATTTGCTTGCTGATTAACTATCGCACAGTAATTAAACACACACACAATTAGGTTTCAGATTTTAAATCCCCATATGCCCCCTGGAACACTTTTAATTATTCAGACTCTTTCTTTACCTATTGCTATGTAGTCTTCTGTATCCCCAGGTAAAAGCGTGGCCAAGGGGCCCGCGTAGAGCAGCAGTCCATCATCTTCCTCTGTCATAAACTCGAGTGAAAGATGGCTATCAAAGCATGGCCTTATGGGAGGAAACCAGGCATAGCCGTTGCCATGGAAACTAAGTCTCGTCTGCTGACAGTCTGGCCCCTCAAGCTGTGGGGGGCAGCGGCACCTGTAGCACAAAAAATAAAAAAAGGTGTAAAAAAAGATTTCCAGGACAAAACAAGGGGAAAGAAACAATCAGCGTCATTCAGTTTTGAGCTCACAGAAATCCTCGCATTGTCAAATGGTTGGCGTACGTGACCGCCTTATTGATTTACACAGACAGAGAGGTACGGCTCTGTTTGAACACGCTGGATGTCAACAGACGGCAAGACGAGCACTTTTATCTATGAATTGTTTGCATTAGCAACAGCGTCCTGAATATTCGCTTCTCCATTAAATCAATTAGCTACGAACACAAGATTACTCTAGTCTATTTTTTATCTATCACAGCTGTCGGAGCTGAACTCCGCAGAGACGGTCCATGCTCAGCACACCACGTTCCTTTGTTAGGAGATAATTAAATCTATTTCTCTCACTTTTCTATGTGTCAAATCATCTCTGATTTTCAAGACATTCTTTCTCTTTTTTTTTTACTATCTGCTACTGCCCCCTTCTTCGTTTTATGGCATTTCCCACTTTGCAAGATTGCCTTCTTTTGCACTTACTTTGATTAGGGATTTTGTGTTAAGGATCACTGCTCTTGCACAAACTGGAAAATAAATGTTATTCATGAGACTCGCTCAAATATGTTTGTGCGGGAGACTGTAAAAGCGAATCTTAATGATCACAGAAAAACATCGTTTATAGAAAAAACCCATCTAGTGATAAATAACAGCCATTTCGATCATTGTGATGGCGAGGATTGAAGGGACAGGTTGATCTCAGTCTGTCCTCTCCACTACAGGCATGTGAGACAAGCTGGTTTGGCTGATAATGTCAAAGCCATCCATTTTCATGCAGTGCCTAAAGACAGCTCTGTGTTCCAAGGCTGGAAGGGTCTGTTTTTCCAATCGCAGTTTATTGTGCAAAGGGGCAACATATGTCAAGAATAATGATTCATGTGCAGCAGAAAAAGAAGAACAGGCTGAGTATATAGACTGATGCATAAATATGCACATGCTAAAAACAGAGCCTGACTCCTTAGCTGCTCTTTCATGTGACTAAAGAGAGCAATGGATGCCCAAATTGCAAAGGGCAGCACCTGTTTTCTTCACTTTTCACTGATAATATCTGATTAGCTCCTCTCTGAGGTTCCCCCTTATACTCATTCAGCAATTGTGAAGAATAAAACTAGATTAGTTATGGCTAGAATGCATTCATATGAGTCCATGTACAACATTTTTATGAGAAATCTGTCTAAAAGAACACAAGTTTCTCATTGGTTAAATTCGCTTGTTTGTTACATGCTGTCTCTGGACATCAGGCCTTGCACAAACTTGCAAATGTGTGTAAATGGCATTAAAGGGGATTTTAAGAAGCTGTGAGCATACGGTAAAGGGAAGTAGATTTAAATAATCCTTTTGCCCTATATTTATTTAATCTGGATATTAGTGTGTGCATGAAAATGAAATGCATGCATTTCTTTCTGCACAAGACTCCCTCAGAGTAGTTTAAAACCCAAAGGTTAGGACTTGTATATTGACGAAAGGTGTTTATTAATGTTTAGGGTGGATATTGTAAAGCAAAGAACCATAATAACAATTTTAACACCTACTGATGAGTTTTACAAATGCATCAAAAACTTTTGACAGAATTTATGAGATCAATTTTTAGAATGATTTGTGCAGCCCAAACCCTTCCATTCTAAACAAATGGATGAGAGCCTTTAGAAAAGTCACATAATTTTTTTTCTTATTTTCAACTCACAACAATAACGCAAAACTCAAGAATGCTTTTTTTTTTAGAGACACAATTTGTAATCACTTATAGTGGTCCTTCAAGGACTAGAGAAAAGCCTGCAGCACATCAGGATACTGATTTCCATTTTAGAAAATCAATTTCACCTGAAGTCCAACTGCAGATGTGCTTCTCACCTGTATCCGTTCTGTGTGTCAATGCATGTTCCTCCATTGTGGCAAGGGTTAGTGGGGTAGGTGGAGCAGGGTCGGCGGGTCATTTCTCTGGCAGCACAGCCGCACACAGCCGAGGACGTCACTTTCACTGAGACCAGGGACAGAGCACCAGAGTCTATCAAGGTGGGTGAGTCACTGATGCTTAACTGTGTGTAGCAGCCGCCGGATGTCTTGCAGTCTGCATGCACGCACTCATCTACCTGCACCTGGCTCACACTCGCACGAAGGAGCGGCTGCAGCTGCAAAGTAAAAAAAAAAAAAAGGGAGACAAAGAATTAAAGGACAGTCATTTCAGGAGAAGATAGCAGGAATCTGTAATTCCAGTTTTAGTGTCATGTAGAAAAGAGTGATAGACTGCCTTTCTAAGAGCCAAATACATTTCATGTGAAATTCAAAAGAGGAAGACAAGAAATTCAGTATAACAGTTAAACGGCAGTACATTTACATTTATGTGGACTGAAAAGATGGAAGAAAGTGAGTTACAGATAGAGGACAGACTGATAATAACTGAACAGAACACAAACAGACATGACAGGGTCAGGCAATAAACTGACAGAAAATTGGTGGAAGAATAAAAGGCCAGATAAAAAGCCCCGTTATCTCTTTCCCGCTAGCTCGCAGGTTTATCACTTGATGTATGAACACTGATCTCTATCGGTCTGACAGGATGGTATACATACCTCCCTTTTATGTGTCGCGAGGACACCGTGCAGTTTCTCTGGCCGTAAGTAGCCATTATCAGTTAGCACATAGAAATGGACGTCCATGGTTTTCTCCTCTCTGTCGGCTATACTGAAAATGTTGATACTTCCTGGTCTGATGGACAGGGTTTCAGACAGGAAGTCCCAGAATGCCTCCAGCCGACTTTTCCCTTCGACGCTGGAGTCGATAAACTCTCTCGCTGTAATGCCTTGAGGAGACAAAGAGATTGGAGGCTCATGACATAAGAAGTACTGACTCGTCAATGACAACTGCAGAGTTGATCAAAGTCTGTGAAGTTCCTGATTCCATTAGCACATGAGGTAGCCTAACATCTCCCGCTATTGATTCGTTTCCTCCCAGAGTCGACATGAGATGAATAAGTCTGCATGCAGCCCAGTAAGAATCGCCGGTTTCCTCACTGACACAAAGTTACTGTCTTGACAAACTGTCTTTTACAAAATATTTTAATGACAGGAAAATCGATCACATTTGGGGTGCAACCTCCCATTGATATCTGGAAAACGAAAGCAGTCATCTTTAATCTCTGAAATATGATAACAGCTCTGAGTCAGAGGCATCCATTACAGTCTTAGACTCCATTCACTGAATAGCTTTTTAAATGTCAAGGACTTTACCTGACACTTCTAAATTGACCTTTATAACTCTGATTTGATCTTGGAGACTGTCAGAAAAATGAGTACGCTAACATAAACTTCAGTGTGTGGAAGAATACCAAGCAGGAAAAGGAGGAGAAGACTGTTCTGAACAAGCATTTTGAATGGTTGCTTTACAATCCTCAAAAATGTTAAACAATGCTTGTATGAAAAAACCTCCTGACAGCCTGTTATTTAGGTGTTAACTAGATTGACAACTTGATAATCATTAAATGAAAAGTACCAATTTATTCATGCATGTGAAAGATGCTGTCATTTTCAACATCAGTGTCAAAACAGGATTTACCAGAGTCAACAAAAAGCTGGCTTTCTTTGTTTTCTTGAAAAAGAAGGTTTTTCTATTCAGTTATTTTACCTATACTTCTTGGGTCATGTAGTAACATAAGAGATGGAAAGAAATACAGCTTCCATCCATCTGCTGAGCTTTAACTACAGACAGTTCCAAAATCAACACCACATTTCTGCATTTAGGCAAGCCATTGTTTCTGCAAACGTTACCTGTCAAACGCAGCGAGGCGGACGACAGAATGGCCTTTTCGTCCAATTCCCTGACATGAACCCTGACTCCTGAGATCACATCAGGCCACACCCCATCAGATACACCTACTCTCAGCCAGTAGCTGCCAGACGGAGTGTTTTGTCGAAGAGACAGAACCCCCGAGCTCTGATTCAGACTGAAGTATCTGAGAGAAGCAAAAGCAGCATTAGGTATGAGATTATGTCAGTGCAAGATCATAGAAAAAAGGACAAGGAGTGTGTTTTTTTTATGTGTGTATGTCCCTGACCTTATTCAGAAAAACACAAGTAGAAATGTGATCAATGACACTTGGGTTTACTACAGCAAACATTAAATGTAAATAATTAAAACACACAAATAAAAGAAACAGTCTAAATTGACCAAGATGAAAAAAGAGGAAAAACTGTAAATATTTGGCTCCAAAAGCTTCTAAAGGAGCTTAATAGTTGTCATGGTAACTGTCAAAATTTGCTGTGTGAATATAACAAATACGCAATTGGTATTTCTAATCTGATTTTAAAAATGTGACTAGTGAATAGCTACACAAGGTCCCTGGTGTAGTCAGAGTATGATTGTATAAGTAGTTTTATCTCTGGAATGTCTTGCAGGCCAATCGAGACTTCTTAGTTTGATTGAATTTGATTGTAGTTTCCAGAATGATAATCACTGAAGATGACAATGATTAAAGTCATAATGGAAACTGTGGGACATATTAGTGGCCAAGGATTTGCAACTTGGGAGAAATACTGGTTATGCATGTTTGAAACCAAATGATGTTTTTTTAAAGAAGTTTTACCGGTGAAATACAAGCTCAGTTCTGAGCCGACGTCTTTCACTTTCAAATATATATTTTCTGTGATGTTGAAGCTCTATTCTTTTAGCATTGCTGGATATTTATAGATCAGCATGTTTTCGGACAAAGAAATCTACGCATTTAGCTGGAATCCCTTACTTGGCAGCGCTTGCCTCCAGACTGTAGGTCTTGTTGTCCCAGTCATCTGGATCTGGGGCATACACCTTCCCAAGTGCTGCATTTCCTGTCCGTCCTGATCAAGGTAAACACACACACACACATACACACACACGCACACACACACCCACACACACACACACACACATACACGCACATTGATTCAGTCTGGCCAGAATCTGCTGATGCCAACACTTATCTTTTCGTCCCTCCCTTCTCCTTATCTTGCATTCTTGTGTTCTGTTCTACTTATTATGCTCATAACTGTGAAGTCCCACTGCTGGAATGAATAGACTCTTGGTGCTCCACTTCAGAGACTGTGGGGCTTAAGGAAGTGAGGCTATCTCACTATGGATTATGTTATTATCGACCTGCAGTGCCAGAGCACTGCAGCTGGGTAAACAATGGCAGCCTGAATGAGTCACGACACTCTTGTTTCCAACAATTACCAAAACTGCCATATAGCTGTGTGTAGGATCAAAACACTAACAAGCCAATACACCTAACCAACTTAGCTGGAGGGGAAAACAAAATCAGACAAAAGAAGAATGATGATCCTGCAATAAAATTATATTCTTATGAGCTTCAGGCATAGGGAAGGAAAGGAAAGAATGTGCTCAGGGCTTGAGAAGAAATTTTACATTACCATAACAAAACACAGTCAGAGTCTAAATGTAAAAGAGCCATCATGAATTCCAAACCACATTGAGTACGTACAACACTGATAACTTTTCCCTTCAGCTGTAACCTAAGTTTCCCCCTCTTCAGTCAAGCTTTGCCTGCAGTGTGAAGCTCTGTAACAAAAACAGGGAGCAAGGAATGAAAAATGGGTGAGCAAGCAACTCACCCTTGTGGCTATGAACATAGACATCTTTCTCTCCTGCCTGATGGGCGTTATCATTATAATCGCCAATAGTGATGGTGAGGGTGTTTGTTGCTGTTATTGGCGGAACACCACTGTCAATCATTATCACTGGCAAGTAAACCTCACTCTGCCTTTCCCTGTCAAATCTGCGCAGGGTGGTGAGTGTGCCAGAGCCGTTCCCATGATCCTGTAGGTGGAAGTCAGCAGAGAAAACTGAAGGCAGAGATAGAATAAAAGGAGGCCCGTGCTCTGGGGAGTCTCTGTCCACAACATGAAGTAGAGTTGAGCTCCTGTTAAGCCAGACCACTTGAGGTGCTGGATTGTTCTCCCACAGCACAGGTGTGTAGACTGTCTCCAGCTCTGGACCGTTATCATTCATGTCTAGCAGTGGCAAGTGGACCGTAACGCTGCCAGTCAGCGCTGGTGTACCACGGTCTGTCGCCATGACAACCAGCTCATAACCTGCCACTGTCTCCCTATCCAGTGGCTTGGTGACAGTGACAACACCGATACGGCTGACTGTAAAGTGTCCAAAGGGGTCTGAATTAGAAACGATGCTGTAAAAAATGCCCCCATTCAGACCTGAGTCAGCGTCAGTGGCCTCCACCTGAATGATGCTGGTTCCTACAGTTATGTCCTCGGGCAAAGGAGAGAGCAAGTGGGAGTTTGGGATAAACACAGGGGCATTATCATTTTCATCCTCCACCAGAATCAAACAGTGGATAACACTGGAATAGTCTGAGTCTTCTACCATGATGGTGAGGTTAAACTGTCGCTCCTCTGGCTGCTCAAAGTCCAGCTTTTTCTTCAGTCTCAATGTGCCTTTTTGCTCCATTCTGTTACTAACCATGTAGAATTGTTGCTCTGAATCTCCTGCCACCACACTGAACGCCAGCTGTCCGTACGTGCCATCATCAGGATCCACAGCACTCAGCTCCAGAAGCAAAGTATCCTCATGTGTGCTCTCAGGAACATGAACACCACACCAATCCTCTTTAAATTTTGGTACATGATCATTGATGTCTGTTACCACAACAGTGACAGTGGCTGTGCCTGTCATACCCCCACCATCCCTGGCTTCAACTATCACATGGTGGTTGTCTGCACGTTCTCGGTCCAAACCCTCTGCTGTCACAGATATTGTGCCAGTGCTGGAATCAATAATGAAAAGTTCTGCATTGTTTGAATTACGTGCATTCCCTGTAATCCGATACGTGAGAATGGCGTTTTGACCTACAGCTGCGTCGTCAAGATCAACTGCTGTCATTTCCATGACAATTGTTCCAGGAGGTGAATTCTCAGCCACGTTACTATGGCAATTATCAGGTGCACACAAGAAGGTAGGTGCATTGTCATTGATGTCCCACACATTGATAATAACATCCGTAAAACCAGTAAGTCCGTCGCCTTCTTCATCCGTCGCCATGACAACAAAGCGCCACACGGCCCGTTCTTCTCGGTCCATGGTGCGCTGAGCATACATCTCCCCTGTGATGTCGTTGATCATGAAATGTGACTCAGCACCTTGGCCATGAATGGAGTAACGTATGGCACCCTGGTCTGCATCTTTGTCCGGGTCAGTGGCCGTCACCTGCACAGAAAAAGACAAGTGTCTGAGAAAAAGTCTATGCTTTTGCTCATTCAACTGCAAATTAATGCTGCTCCTTCTTCTCTTTTCAACTATCATGTAAGTTGCTTTAGACTGTTTTTAGACAGCCCATTTAAGTTTTTTCACTTTTTCTGACCAGTTTAATTACAGTGCTGAGCTCTGATCAGGCATGTTTTCATGTGTCTGGTCTGAGAGTGGATGTGGCAGACTTACTGCAGAATTCCCCCACACAAGATTCATCCCTGCTGCTGCTGTAACTTAAAGCGAATTAAATTGTATGTCAAGCTAGGGTAAAACACCAACAGTAGATACACCAAAATAATATGCCAGAATGGGAAATTGTAATAGTTACTCAGCTGCCACATAAACCTACACTGAGAGCAAAGTTTAGAAGGGTAATTGCAGATATATGGATTATTCTAATTACTAAAAACTACACAATGTAAACATTTTTTGCAGAAAGGCTTTCAACTCTCACCTGTAACACAAACACAGGTGACCCATCAAGCTCCTCTGTTACTGATCCGTAGTACTCAGTCATGGAAAACACAGGTGTCTCGTCATTCTTATTGACAACATTGACTACAACAGCGGCATAGTCCTCCCACTTGCCATCTGAAGCTAGAACCAGGAGCTTATACCTTTTTTGCTTCTCATAGTCAAGTGACTGCGCAATAAAGATTGTTCCAACTTCTGGTTCAATGTCAAAGGCACCACCTTTGTTGCCAGACGTTATCTGGTAACGCAGCTTGGCATTGGCACCTGTGGAAACAATTAGAAAATGTGTAATGACAATTTGTTTGCAATCAACATTTTAGAATGTAATTACATCTATAACAAGTTGCTGTCAATGTTTTAATCATCATTCTTATTAATAATAATAATTTTCTTTTCGTGCACCGAAAAGTGTTTTACCTTTTTCTAATCTGCACATTGTAACACTCCTGCAAAAACAGAAGTGTGCAACCACTAGGGCATTACACCTCATTTCCTTCAAGACTTGCGAAGTAGTAGATTTTCACGTAACTCTTTCTTGTTTTGATTACTTCATTAAATGGAAACGTTGTCTCCTCAGCTTTAATCAGATACTAATTAAAGAAAAAGTGCAGAAAAAGTAATGAGTGGAAGGCAACATAATGCACTGATAGTGGCCCTGTAGGGAATTAATTTGAGGCTCGGATGAGGTTGGGGGATGTAGGTTAGTTAAAAGGAAGATGTGTACTTATCTGCTGTGTCTCTATGGAGGCCATCCAATCTAATGCTAGAACATTGGAATGGATCAGATAATCTTCTGGAATGCATAGTCTTTGCTTTCAATCATCCTGTTGGGTTAAAGTAGCTTCAATCCCATGTTAATACACTAATCTGTAGTATTAGTACAGTCCTAAATGACAAAGTGCTCCCCATCTCCCACAGGGTTCTGGCATGTTTATAGCAGTCAGACCTTGGGTGGAGTTTCTCCACAAGACAGAATGAGCATGTTTTTTTTTTGGCACTAATGCAAACAGTATTGTAACTCTAATGTTGGGGGGCGTTCTTCCACAGCAATTTATCATTAGTGTTATGGGCCAGCCTAAGCTGCACCCCCGCTCTCCATAAATGCTTGATTAACGGACCTAAACATTCCTGATGAAAGGATCTTAGGCTGCAGTCTGGAGGATGAGCAACTGCTTTATTGCTTAAATCCCACCCACCTACTGTGTGGGAGCATGTCACTCTTTTTGGAACATATGTGCTGCAGTGCATTACCAAGCACTTAAATGACTACTAAATCTAGTACACCGCTTGATTTCAGCAACATGGTTTTCTCAGAGCACAGACCAGATTGGAAAACTCTCGCCCCAGGGTGACTTTATGCGCACTGCTACAAATGAAGACCATCCTGCAAAAATGTTTCCTCTTTGGCAGGCAATTCATTGATATACAGCCAAAATAAGTTTATTATTAAAAAAAAAATTGAGAGTAAATATAAAAAAAACTTGCAAATCTTTCTAAAACTTAACAACTTTCATGTTGGCAACTTTGACTTTTTGTTCTAGGGAACAGCATCAGTAAAAATGTTGTTGGAACGCCATCACTCTGTTGCTTCATCAAGCGTACCTTCATCCTCATCATTAGCACCAACAGTGACAATGGCCAAGCCCACATCTGCATTCTCGTCGACATGGACTTCATACAGTCGCTGAGCAAAGACAGGTTTGTTGTCGTTGACGTCGCTGATGAAAACCCTCACATATGCTGTGTCTGCAAGAAGGACAAAACAGCATGTTAAACAGAAGTTGCTCATCAACACTCAGGAACCCACAATTTATTTAGTGCTGTATGTGTTATTTTCATTGCTGTAGTTTAGAAACATTAACTTGCAAAGTGAAAACTAGGCATTAATTTAGCATAATTTGATCTGTCTTTATGCTAAGGTACATGTATAGATTTATTTTTCACATAAATTTATTGTCTTGTCTGTTGTGACAAATAAAAATAAAGCTACATATACCATTTGACTGCATATCTTTTTTTTCTGTGTAAATATACAGAACCTTTCTATAGGGAAGATTAAAAATTCATAGGATGACAAGTGTTTGTGTCTTATCTGGGCCCTCTTCATTACAACTTTTATTTCTTTAGTTAGAAAGTGTAAATTATATACTCTAAGAGCACATTGGTGACAAGTTAATTTGGAGCTGGGGCAGTAAGAGATGATGATGGTAGAATGCGGCTTTTTTTTTCTTGGCTTGTTTTTTGTTTCTCCATTTCTCTCCTTTTGTTGTTTCCCAAGGGTGACAGAGAGAGACAGGTAATGTTTGCAGTGCAGATGAGCCCTTCTGGATGTGGAAGATATGTATACACAGCTAAGACTCATTGTAAATGCTAAGCAGCCCTGGCAACCCCGGAGAGAAGGCTTTACTGCTCCAAAACATCACCTGCTACACCTAATATAGCTTCCCAAATACAGGTAAAAGACCCACTTCTGAATACAAATGCCATATTTCATCACACCACACACAGACTGAGATTTTCTCACTGCCAAAATGCCAGACGTAATATACTGTAAACAAACAGAGGCTGAACAGGTTAAATATCGATCAGTGGAAATTAATACGAGTACAAAAAGGGGACCACAACAGAAAATTCAGGGAATGCCAATAACCCTCCGAGCTGTTTTCACATGTAAAAGAGTCTCTTTGGCCATGGCAGTAGAATAAATTGAATTACAATTCCCTTTTTCAAAGTCAATCCTAATGTGAGATTGCCATTCAATCTGTTTCAAACTCAGGGCACAAAAGCAGCACCCCTCATGGCTCAGCGTTAGTTTCAGCATTTCCCTCCATAGGGATTTTTGGCAATGCAGTAATATGAATGAACATTACACCAAAGCAGAGGTCAACTGAAAGCTCTACTATTTTAAATTAAGCAGATAATAATTCATAGATAATATTTTTATTTACCTTTCGGTCAGTGTTTGGCTCTTTCTCTGTCTATCTAAGACCGTCATTTAGACGATTTACACGATCCATGTTTTACTATTTCTTTAAAAACATATATTTTTAGCCGTTTGTTTTGTCTTAATGAAGTTTGTTGGAAGTGAATGTATGGAGCGGTATGTTCCAAATGAATAGCCACTATTAAAACAGCCAGACTCTGACAAATTATTTGACTATTTAAAAAGACAATGCAGTGCACTCTGGTGGTGTTGCAACAAACTTTAAATGATGAAATGTCGAACTGACCGCTTGACATTTCCACACTTTATGCAAATTAAGAACATATTGCACACAAACCCTCCACAAACTCCAGACAAAACTTTAAAAATTATATAGTCTGTCATTGCCAATATAAAACTCAAAGATTCAGCTACAGGGTGCTAATTTTTAATGCAAATGCATTCAAAAATCCTCTTTTTGCTGAGTTTGTTCTCAAAGTAAGAGACATTTACTTGACGGCAACATTTTTTTTTACATTTTTTAAATTTGTTTTTATTTCAATTAAATGTGTTTGTCCAGCAAAGACCTCATATTGGTATTTTGTTAGAGGGAAGAAGGCCATGTTCAAAACATCTATCATGACGATGCCTGGTGGTAACTCTAAAATGCATCGTGTCTTAGGAAGAGTTGCGACTGCTCATGTATCAAAATGCCCCTTTGAGCATGCTACTCATAAATGCTGTAGTGAAAGAAAATACACTGATTTCTTCAAATTGTCACTTACAAAAAGTGAAATAACACAATGCACATCTAAACACCTAACAGTCCTTGAAAGGAATGTTCATCACCCGCTCCCTTTTATACAAGAGTTTTAGACTAAGACAATCTTTTACTAAGAATTAGCATTAAAGACCTTTTGGTTGAACCTTGAAAATAATGTTATTCACAATCTCATACAATGTATTGAAAAGTCTAAAATACTGTGTGGGTGATTGTTATCAGCAACTGTCACACCAAATTTGAGCTTAATATCTGTAAATTTGACTGACATTTAGCCATATTTCTGTTGGCTTACAATGACTGTGGCCGCCATTTTAATTGGCTTACGCAAAAGGTGTAAAATTCACTGAGTTGTAGCTATTTTTGTGCTTTCTAAATTCAGTTAGCTTCGGCAGCCATTTTAAATTGTACTGGCTCCAAAAATATTCATTTGTAGATGTACAGTAGTCCCTCACTACTTGGCGGTTTGACTTTCTAGGACTTGCTATATCGTGGTTTGTCAACGCACATTAACATTTTTTTTTTTTATTGTACAGGACACATTACTGTCAACTTTAATATTACTCACAGGATTGGGACAGTACTGGATACAGTACTGTACAGTAAAAAGTTAATGAAAAAAATAAAATACTTGGGACAGGCGCCGCCATTTTGTAGTTTTCTCCCAATAACGTTACACTATATTCCTGCTCGAACACATTTCCCATAAGCCATAATTGTAGGTCCGGGGCTCCATCGTGAGCCCATTCATAGGGACTTTTTTCATTCAGACTTGGACTCAATCAACCACCTCCAGTCAGTGCGACCAACTGAAGGTCTGGCCTCCCAAAAAAATGCACTTCGGCACTCAGGGCTGCACTGAACCGGACCAGAACATGACCCCCAGACTGAGCGGTGAGCCTGAGAGATCCTAGCCAGCCCACGAGGACCTCTGAGCCGGGACGCCACGCTAGTAAGTGAGTAAAATTTAGAAGCTACTGTACATATAAGTATGTTGTTAAAATTAATAGGTTTAAGAGTTTAGAAAATTGAGTGTGGGCTTCGGTGATGCAGTGCAGGTCTGCAGAAATGAAACCGAGTTGGACCAGAACAGAGTTGGACCAGAACCGAGTGCCACTCCTGTTCTGCAGAGCCTGGTAAGTTAAATTTAGTAGCTACATATACAGTACTGTACGTATGTTGTTAAAATGACATAGGTTTCTAGAACTGGCGTAGAAATGACATAGGAGTTCTAGAATTGCGCCGCTCAAGGTGGCTGCATGTTGAAGCAGCTCTGTTACTTTCATTCTGAGATTTTGCTTTTGGAAACACAAATTTCTCTTTTTCTGGATGTAAATCACATTTTTTGGATGATTGTTTCCTCTGGTATCAGATGCTGTGCAGCTAAAATGATTTTTACTGAAGCTTTTATTGTTTTGGACATTTGTTATGATGCATAACCATATAACATCTCTTAATGAAATGAGGATAATGAGTTACAACAACAAATAATTTCCCTTTGGGATTAATAAAGTATTTTTGGATT